CCCCATGAACCCAAAATTAATTGGGGTTTAAGGTTATGCGAACCGGGTCCATCCGCAGTTCTAGTTTTGATTGTCACGGTGCTTGCTCGTTGGCTATTGTCGTATTAGGTGGTACTGCGGTTTAAATCATTACCGTTGCCGTTGTCCACGTTGTTTGGTTTGCCAGGGTGGTTTTGGCGGTGCCTGTGCTGCACGCATGCATGCGCATACATACGCAACTGCACTGCATGTGGGACTCGAAAGCAAGTGAACGCGCGAGTGTGAGGGCGTTCATGCGGGCATGTGTCCGTAGAGTTGCTTGTGCGCGTATCCTTGATTCTTTGCACAATGTAGCCTTTGTGTAGCTGGATGGCTGCCTGCCTACCTGTATAGTTGCATAACCTGGTTCCCTCAACAAGGGAGCGATGATGTCGAAAGAAGAACACCAATGGAGGGATCGGAATAATTCGTAATCCCATTCTTCAACATTCATTAATTAGGGTTCCTTATTATAAAATATGCTGTATTTCTAACGCCCCATACTAAACCCAGGTCCCTAGTGTTTCGACTGTGGAGTTCAGCAAGGGTGCAGGCTTTGGGTGTTCCGGCCCGAGCGCGTCACAGGAGCAACAATGGTTAGAATAGGGTTTTGGGCATATTTGAGTAGAAAGATAAGAAAGGAAGTCTAGGAAAAAGTTCAAGTAGGGCTTTCAGTTGGGGTCTTATAACCTTGCTCATGATCTAGTTGGTAAGTCCCCGGACCTACACAGCAATCACAGCAATCAAAGGTGCCCTAGAGAAAAGCACCATCAGACCAGAAGGTCCAACACCATTTTAAATGCTATAACTGGAACACAGCATGCAAAAAAAACATTACATAAACACCATGACATCAAACTCCTGTAAACTCGAAGCCCGAAGCCCTAAACTTAGACCTTATAACCCTAAACCCTAAACCCTAAACCCTAAAGCCTAAACCCTAAACCCTAAACCCTAAACCCTAAACCCTAAACCCTAAACCCTAAACCCTAACCCTTCAAAAAGCCTGGGGGCCTGAGGGTGTTTCCTGCGCGCGTCCCCTCGCAGGCCAACCGTCAACGAGAGCTCGTGCATCTCTCGGTTTCCCTCTGCGGCGTGGGGATTTAGGGTTTAGGGTTTGCTAGGGTTTAGGGTTTAGGGTTTCACTAGGGCTTTAGTTTTTGCGGTTGAGGGTTTGGGGTTTACTGCTCTGCGGGTATACGGGTTAGGGGAATTCGAATGGCCCTCGAGTTTGGCACTTGTTAAAATAAGAGGTCGGAATAAATTGCAACAGTTTTCCTTACGCTTCCCTGCATAGTTATATATATATATATAGAACGTCGGACAGGTGAACATGGGGACTGCGCACGATAGCACAGGAACCGGAATGTGTAATCATAGTAATTATCCCGTTGTAAGCGCCAGGAATTACGATATGATATCTGCCCAAACCGTATGCCAATCATCTTTAAGACACCGATAATATGCTCTCTCTGGCATGTTCAGCAGCAAGTCGTTTGAATCCTTCAGCCTAGATGGGCTCAGGTCGGGTGTACGGTACGGTGGCAGTACAGTTGTTTTTCGTGCTCTCGTTGGCTCGAAAGCATGATGACGTAAGTCTCCGTTGTGCCCGCTGCGCCAGAGTTTTCGGCAGCACAAGGTAATGTCAATGTGTCGAACATTGTGTCCGATGATCGGTTCAGTGATGTGGAGATGGGGCCATCCCTCCAGAAAGACGCGGATGGCCAGCTGCAATTTTCCTTCCGGGACTTTAGAAACTGCCGCATCGCTCTGCACTTCTCGCTGGTCGGAATGCTATTTTCTTCAACGTGTTGGAAGGGTATCTGAACGTACAAAGCAACATCATGAAAAGTGCAACGAACCTCGTCCTGATGCCCAGTGCCTTCACCTTGGCTTTCGGCATCCTCAGCGATTCTCGGCCAATCTTTGGCTTCCGACGCCGTCCTTTCATGGGAGGAGGCTTTCTGCTGGTGTGGGCAAGCTTCATTATCCTGATTGGCCTTGGCCTTCCCGATCCTTGCTTCTGTTTCGTGGATGCATGGACAAGGAGGCCCCTTGCAACCCGGAAGCTCCGGATGCCTACGGTCGCTAATCTGGGCTGTGTGGCAGCCACTGCCGCAGCTCAAGGTCTCGCGGTAGAGTATGCCAAAGCCGAGCCTCAGGAAATCCGCGGGCGAACCTAAGCCATGCTGCAGATAGTTACCTGTGCTGGAAGCATGTCTTCAGTTTTTGTTTGCTGCTTTCGGGTTCAATGGCCGCAAGTTCACAGGAAGCTTCAACCAGAACGACCAGCTGAGCTACAGGCAGTTCCTTCTTTGACATGTCTGCATCTTCTCGGTGGAAAGGGTTCAGGTGTCGGGTAGATGAGGGTTCGCGAATGGAGTTGATGCCAAGCCTTAACTGGGACTCCACACGGGCCTCGACCCTTGATCCAATTCGTGCAAGGACCGACTGGCCGGTCCTTGCACGAATTGGATCAAGG